TGGTTGCTCTATTCATGGCATTTGAAGTCATTAAGGTGATTCTCAGTATTTGCGGTCCAGCAGCCTGCACACTTAGCCAGCAGAGAGACTGAGCAGCCAGATCTTCCAGTTCCGCCTTAGACAGAGACAGGCCAGTGGCCTTCCTGCATGTTGCCCTCCTACCTCCGCCTACTGCACACTCACCTGTCATTCCCCATCCCCCTATAAAGGGCAGTAGGAAGTCCGCAGGGCTTGGGAGCGAGGGCTGAGTCCTGTGCCTCAGTGTCTCTAGGGTAAGCCAAGGATGCCTGAATGTCGATTTCCTCATCGTGAAATAGGACTGATGGGAATCGCTTTCCTGCCCATTCACAGTCCCTTGTGAAAATGAAAGAAGGTCTCTGGTGTTTACATCTATTTTGAAGCTCACATTGTTAGATGCCATTCTAACATTCAATATGCAGACTTTACCCTCTGTCTGAGGACATCTTTCACGCTGGCTGAAACAGCCTGTCTGGACCTCCGTGTTCTCCACCGGAAGGGAAGGGGTTGGTGCTCGTTATCCGGCTCCTTTTGAGATGTAGCATTGGAAGAGTCTACGATTCGCTTTCCTGCATATCTCTGAACTGTTCTGATGTCGTGATCAGTTTCTGGAATTTTAGAGTCCATGTCCTGTGTCTGAGTGAAGAGTGTAGTGTTTATTAAAGCTCAGAACTCCACACACACACACACACACACACACACACTGGTTACACTTGCCCAGCTGGGGCATGCGTGGATGTGGTCAGAGATACACGTCCTTCAGCAGACACATCCTCTCGGGATAGAACCTGGGCCCCGCTGCGTGGGAGCAGGTGTAATGGCCTTACTGCGTGAGAAGCCACTCGGCGCACGTCAGAGAACCTGCACTTGTGCTTCTCATTGGACACCACCTTCTTCCCTCCTTACGTGGCTAGAGGGTATGTGTACTGGCCAGGGCAGGGGATGGGCCGAGAGAGAGAGAGAGAGCGCGAGCGAGCAAGCATCTCCCATGGGGAATTCTCTTCTTCACATATCTCTTTCTCCCCTCGGGGTTTTGGGCATGTGCACACTCATGCACCTGGTGTGTTTTTCAAGGCAGCAGATCTAGGACTTGAACCAGGCCATGGGACCTGTGGGATCCAGCTGCTCTCCTCACCGCCCCACGAGCTGGCCTGGAAGACGTTCTTTACTTTCTCTGTCTGTAGCATTCTAATACCTGTGACATCCCCTTAGGCTTTTTTGAAAAAATATTTTAATTTTTAATTAATTAATTTACATTCATTCACTGAGCATCGTCACAGCATACAAAATGTTATTTTTCCATCCAGCATACACTACATAGTGGCTTAATCATATATGTTATCGTCAAGAATTTTCCGTTTCTAGTTTCATATATATATTGCCTATTTCTCACCCTCTAGCTTCGTGTATCCCTTAGGGTACACGAATTTTTAAAATTCGGTTTCAGCTATTCTGAGATGCTAATTATTTAAGGTCCTCTCCAACCTTGGGGCCAGTGATTTTTTTTTTTTCATTTATTTTCTGGAGGGCGCATGCACTCACCAGAGAGAATGAAAGTGAGCGAGCGAGCCCACCCCCCAGGGGAGCGAGCAGGCTGCAGTCCTCTCTCCTCCATTCTCTCCAGTTCTCGGGCACGCACACACGTGTGCCTCGTGTGTTCCTCAAGCCGCCAGGTCCAGGACCTTGCAGTCAGCCCTATGGGGCCCAGCCACCTTAACCTCCACGTCGTCTGGCTGTCACAGGCCCAGTGAATTTTAAGAGTAGTATAAAAATCTTGGTTTAAAAAAAATTCACATGATTTCAGACTGTACACTCTTTTTTTATTTGCCACAAAATACGTGTGCTTATTAGAGAGAGGGAGAGAGAGAGAGAGACTCCTGCACAGGGGGTCACAATCCCTTACCCTCCATTTCTTCACCCAGTTGGAAGTAGGCATATACTCACACGAGCACCCATTTTTCAAACCTGCAGGGTCGAAACTGAAACTGGAAGGTCACCCATGTGGGGTCTGGCCGCCTTCACCACCAGCCAAGGACCCGGTCCAACTCTCCATTTGTATTTTATTTTATTTTTTAATTAATTTTTTTAGAGATTTTTGCTACAGGGTGCATGTGCTCACCAGACAGACAGAGAGAGACAGAGAGACAGAAAGCGAGAAATTACCCCCCAGGGGGGATGGCCACGCCACAATTCCTTCTCCTCCATTCTCCTCTCTGGATCTTGGGCACGCACGCACACACGCCTGGCGTGAGTTTAAGCCACCAGGTCCGGGACTCAAACCGCTGTTGGCTACGTGGGAGTCCAGCGGCATAGCCATTACACTAACTGCTGGTCCCTCCATTTGTATTTTAAATGGTAATCTGTCCAGTCATTTTTGTGTCATAGGGCACCAAACGGAAGCTCACTTTTATTTTTATAACTGTAAAAGATCTGTAAATTAAAGCATTTGGAGTATAATTTTTCTGAGGAATATTTACTTTCATTTTCTAACTTTTTGGTCAGTTTTGCTGTAGAGCGTACCTGTCTCGCATAGCCTGGCTATCTCCCTTGGCCTGTGCCTTCTAGGTTTGTTGCTTCATGTCAAGTGGCAGGGTATGGCTGTTCTGGCTCCATGGCGTTCAGGACCACAGTTCCTCACCCATTGGTTTCGGGCCACTTAGGTTGATGCTGTGTCTTCGCTATTGTGAATAATGCTGCAATAATCCCAGGTGTGCGGGTGTCGCTCTGACAGACCTTGGCAAATATCCAACAGGGAATTACTGGGCCCTAGGGTAGCTTTAGTACACATGTGAGGAACTTCCACATTGTTTCCCGCAGTGGCTGTAGAAGTTTCTTTTCTTTCTTTCATGAGGGAGACACAGTGGCTGTAGAATTCTTTTTCTTGAAGTTTCTTTTCTTTCTTTCATGAGGGAGACAGAGAATGAGAGAGAGCAAGCGAGCGAGAGAGAAGGTACCCCTGACAGGATCTCCACACTGTGATTCACCCCCAGCCTCAGCCAGTTGGGGTCATGGGCGTGCATGTGCCTCCAGGGAGGACTCCAGACACGAACTCAGGGCCGTCAGCATCTCAGAGCATTGTGCTACTACTGCACCACCAGGGATGGTCCCATAACACCTTTTTTTTTTAATTTGCTCTAGGGAGCATGTGCCTGCCAGAGACAAAGACAGAGCGAGAGTGAGAGAGTGGAGGAGATGGATAGTGGTATGGCCATCCTCTCTGGGAAGTGATTTCTCACTTCCTCTCCCAGTTCTGTCTCTGGTGAGCACACACTCCCTGTAGCATAGACTGAAAACAAAACTAAACCAAACCAAGCCAAAACCAAAACCAAAATAAATAAAGGGAAAAAGAAGGAAACTGTTCCATCTAAGGACCATGTTGGAATATTCGAGTGGCTACTATGGACCGAATTGAGGGAAGGTAGATTTCTCAGGCTTTCCCTCTCTTTCCCACTTCCAAAATCACTTGATTACTGCCTGACTTCAGGAGTGAAAAAGCACTAGGTCTGAGAGGAAGCTAGATTCCATCTTCCAGTGGTGGCAGAGGCTGACTGGACAAGTGTATTACGTGCCTGTTGGATTGTGGGGGGCTGAGGTAAAGGATGAGGAGAGTGGGATGGCAAGGGTTACCTTTTCTACCCAGAAACCCAACAATGTGAGTTTTCCAGTCCTAGGAAGGGACAGCCCCCGTTATAAATGAATACGTTGGCATTCTGCTTTATGAATGAAGTTCTTGTAAGCTCATCACTGGTGTTGTCTCTGGGTCCAGTACAAAAGTGAATTCTGGATTCGCAGCACTGAGCATCAGGCCTGAAGCAGGGCGTACTCACGAGCCAATGGCTCTACAGTGACGTAAATGGTGTTTCTGCGGGCTTTCGCAGACTCGTAATTGTGCGAATTATTGGTTAACTACATTCCACCTTTTTTTTTTTTTTCAGTCCCGAGCCTGACACGATGTAGAAGAAAATCAGCAATATTATGAATAAAAACATTAAAAATGGGTGCCATCGCTGCATTGTGGGCCCCTTGCTTAACTGGAGCCCTGTCACCATTCAGTACATGTTGAATAAGACAATCGAATTGAAGGAACTTGAGAGAGACTTTGATTTGGGAAGACAATACCCATTATAATCTTGAAAAGAAAGAAGGAAACCATTTCCAGGGGAAAATAGAAGTTATTAACAGGAATAAGGGCTCACAGGCTGGATCAATGTACATAAAGATTTTATTCACCATTTTTTAAAGACAAAATTCTGACTAGAATGAAATTTTGGAGTTTTGAGCCATATACTTAGGATTCAGTAAGTGCTCAGTAAATGTTTAATGAGTGACAAGGAGATTAAGTCTAAATTAGCAGGAAAATGGAATCACTTCTGGGAATTTCAATGAAATAGATTTATACCACCAGTGTTTTTTTTTTTTTTTTAAGAAGTGTGGGATTGTTTTTACTATTAGAACAATTTTCATGTGTTTGGATTACGCATGGCTAATTGTACCCTTTTATATTACAGTGGGTGATGATCATTTAAATATATGCTAGAGGTTTTAAGCTCAGCTTATGTAAATGGTCTTACCCTCGCTGTGCCTCAGTTTCTTGATTTGAAAAGGGAAAGGGCTGAACTGGTTGACCTTTTAGTGTCCTGCCAGCTTAAGAATTCATGTTCCTCAGAATACTCTTTCTGGAGAGGTATTGCCATGGATCACAATTTATTGCACCTGTTGATAATCTCTTAGGCTATAAAATTAAGTCTAAGGAATGATAATGAATGATCTTTTTTTTTTAAACTTTCTTCTTATCCAGCTACTTAATTTGAAATTTAACACCTTTCTTATAAGGCCATAAAATTGGACCTTGCTCTTCGATGCGCTGTTTCTGTCGCTATTGATTTGGGTTCCAGGTGACGTTTTCTTGACCTTCAATTTGAGTGTTTCCTCTTCTGTTCACTCAGATTAAAAATGAACCTTACTTTTATTTTTTTCTTGAGAAAATTATTGCCTGGAGTTCATAGAGTCAGAAGGGCACCTCAAGTTTAACAAAGTTACAGGAGAGAGCATCCAATCTCAGCAATCTCAGCATTTGGATGAACCCACCCGGTCAGAGTATTCCTGCAGAATCTCCCGTGAACAACTGCACAGCGGTTACAGCCCTGGCAGTCAAATCACCTTTCAAAACTCAACCATGGCATGCACCACTGGATCTATCAAGTTTTAAGACAGTTAAGTGTGATTTTTTTTTTCAAATTTCACCATAAATATTAATTTAACACCACTAAGTAGTGCAGCAATTGTAACATTCCTTAAATTTAGCTTGAGCACAGAACTTTTGTCTCTAGAAAGAGGGACCAAGTTGCAGCATTTTCAAAATGACTGCCCCACCACAATTTTAATTCTGGATAGGAGAAGTCTGTGTTTCTCTTCTGACTTTGGAACACAAAGCTTATCCCAGTACAGGGTTGCTTTTACCCCAAGTTACTGTTTAGATGGCATTTTCTTCAATACAACGAAAATATCAGCCAGGTACTAGAAATGAAAATAGTCTCTTGGAATAGAAAGTAATTCTTCAGGCTTATCTGGAAATGCCGTGTGCAGAGGAGGGAGAGGGAGGCCGGTCTCTTTGAATGGGGTCATCTCATTGACAGCGAAGTTTCCTGAGTGTGAATAGGATTTGCTAATGCAACAATATCATAGCCTGAGATTATTTTGTGCCATTCTAAAGTTCAGCCACATTCCCCCCTTGTTTGTGAAAGTCCATTAGGGGAATGGAATCACTGCCTGCTTTGGAGATAAGTGAAACCACTGTGGGTGGAGAAAGAAAAGGCCTTTGAACTTAAGAATGTTAATTGGTGCTGGCCAGTGAAGGTGAACAAGAAGCCATAGATGTTTCAAGTGAAAACATGAATAAACTTGAGACTTAAAGGTAGATAACAGGACTAGGGTAAGAGTAGGAATGCATCACAGCTGCTGAGGACATCACCCTTTTTCCTCTCCTGACAACAAGTGGAATTCATTGAACAGATTGACACCCAACCCAATGTCTTAATTTTAAACAATCATGCGCTTTCGTGAGTAATTAGTCAAGGCAATTATGTTTCCTAGTTAACAATGAGCAGAATAATACAAGAATTAGATCATGACCTATGAGTAAATGGGTCTATGTTAAATGTATACCTTCATTAGTAGATGAGTTTTTATGTGGGTAATACTGACTTAGTCTTTTAAAACATTTTTCTTCTAAAGTTGTTCAGGATATGGTTGAACTTTTGAATGAGCAGTTGATTTTTTGTTTAAAAAGCGGCATGGGGCCAGCAGGTGGCATGGTGGTTAAGGCACTGGACTCCTACGTGGCCAACTGCACATACTTTAAGTGAGAGTCCCAGATCTGGTGGCTTGCTTTCTCACTTTCCGTTGCTCTCTGTCTCTCTGGTGAGTGTACATGCCCTACAGCAAATTGAAAAATAAATGAGTAGTGACCAGCAGATAGCATAATGGTTATGTCGCTAGACTCCCACATGGTCGACCATAGTTCAAGTCCCAGATCTGGTGGCTTCAGACTCATGCCAGGTGCGTGTGTGTGTGTGTGTGTGTGTGTGTGTGTGTGTGTGTGTACACACATAAAATCCCAAGAGGAGAAGGGATTTGACACAGCTATTTCTCTTCAGGGGTGATTTCTCACTTTCTGTCTCTCTGGAGAGCACATATGGCACTATAGCAAAAATCTCTTTCTGAAAAAGAAAGAAAGAAAGAAAAATAAATAAATAATAAAATTAAATACATAATTCTTTAAAAAAATCTTCAAAAATATTTTATGGCCACAGTTTGCTGCCCTCATGGATATACATGGTAGCTACCTAGCTAGATATACCATGTATATGGTAGCAAGGTTAAGAACAGCTCAGGTGACCAGCAGATGGCGTAAAGGCTTCATCACTGGATTCCCACATGGTTGACCACAGCTGGAGTCTCGGACCTAGTGGCTTAGAACTCATACTAGGCGTGTGTGTGCGTGCATGCCCAAAATCCCAAGAGGAGAATGGAGGAGAAGGGGTTGCAGTATGGCCATCCCCCCAGGTGGAAGATTTCTCGCTCTTTGTCTCTCTACCTCTCACCTGAGAGACAGAGACCCTAGGGAAAAAAATCTCTCAAAAAAAAAGAACAGCACAGAAAAATCTCTGGCACTCTTAAAAGAACAAATAGCATGACCCACTGATTATGCAAAAGTTCTGTACAGATGGGGGAAACATTTTACGAATACTTTTACGCTATAAGCATTTCCTCTTTTGACATAATTGAAGAGCCTGTTCTTTAAAGACAGATCTTAGTTCGAAACCTGCCTATGACATCCTTTTATGTTGTGCGTTTTGGGGAAAATGGCTTTATTTCTATGAATAGCGTCCGTTCATCATCTCTAAACATTTATTTTGGCTGAGGACTAATGATATCCTTCACCTCCTAAAGAAATGCCTGGCATGCAACTCCTCCGCGTGATAACCATGGCAGAGTTCTTTGTTACCCAGCGTCGGTGAGCCAGGATTGTAGAAAAGCTGTGACTTCCTGCACAGTCATCAAGCTCTGATAATTTATGCTTCTCTTGATGACCCTGAAATGCATTCTGAATAATTAGAGAAAGATTAAATTATAATCAGTTTAGTTTCAGTGTTAAGTGTATTTTAATTTATTCTCATTCTTTAAAAATTAGTAATCCTTCTGCATGTGGTAACAATTAACAAAAAATATTTGATTAGCTAGAGCACGACATTTCCTGACTATCTGACTAAGATGTATATTGTTGGAACCCAAAGTCTGTCCCTATGGATAATCTGGGCATTTGCTGGATAGACTTACTTCATTCTGGTCTTAGGTCCGTTCTCAGAGCCACTGTGTTGACTGTTGGTTGGACATTGGACATTCAGGAATTATTATTAGTATTTTTTGCTATAGGGCACATGCGCTCGCCAGAAAGACAGAGGGATAGAAAGCGAGAAATCACCCCCTGGGGGGATGGCCACACCACAATCTCTTCTCCTCTATTCTCCTCTCGGGATCTTGGGCACGCACACACATGTGCCCGGTGTGAGTTTAAGCCACTGGGTCTGGGACTCCAACCACGGTCGACTACATGGGAGTCCAGCGACATAGCCATTACGCTAACTGCTGGTCCCAAGAATTATTCTTTAAATACTTTTGATAATAGTCGTAGAGCTTCCATGGACTGTTTGCATACTACTTGGATCATGAAGTCCTAGTGCTGGTCATCCCTTCCGATTTTGTGCAGATAAGTAAGTAAATCTTCAACCCCCAAGGTTGTCTATTCTGTTCCTAGGGATTTCTAGAGATGAACATCTCAACTGACATTAATAATCAATCTATCTTGCTATTTCATAAACCTTTATTCATGCCCAATCACGTTTTAAACTTGTTTTCACTAGATGTTTTAGGCAATATAACCTTTCTGATAAAAACTTCACCATGCTTTTTATCATTTTTGTGATTCTTTGAACTTCTCACATTTTTCTCCCATCTGTCTCTCCGTTCTCCACATTGATGTCACTTGCTGCTTTAAAAGGTGACTTGACTCCTGGTTGTGTTAAAAATGAAGTCTCTTCAGGAATTTATCAGGATTACTGTTCCTCGGTGACCTCAATTACTATGACACCTTTTCAGGCACGTGGAATGACTTCCTGTGCAGCCGATCAGCACAGGACGCAGTGTTTCTCAGTCCCCCTTCTTTCCTCTTTCTGCCTTCCTGTGCATCTCTGTGCTACCCAGCACCTTCCTTCTCTTCCATGAAGTCTCCCCGTCTCAGCTTCCATCCCCAGTGTTCCCTCAGTGGAGAAGGAGGAGGCTGGTGGCTTCCTTGAAAGGGGGACTGAAGCCAAGGAGGAAAACAACTGATGAAGAGTCGATTTCGCTTTGCAGACCCAGTCAACTGTTGACCGTGGTGAGAAGGGCAGGGTTGGCAAGGGTGCTGCTGCCAGAGAGCAGAAGTCTTCCTCAGGAATGTGTGCTCAGTGGGGCTAGGGTCCGGGATGCCTAGCCAGGAAGCAACACTTAGTGTTCTGCTCTCAGCCTGCAGTTTCTGTGAGACCGGATTCACTGGTAGCTCTAGCTCAGCTGTCCAGGTAACTTGCCAGCTGCGACCGCATGTCATTTCTCTCTAAAGTGCTTTTTCCCTTTAAATAGAACCTATATTAAAAGACACTGTGCAGCTGGCAGCATGCAGGTTAAGATGCCAGCTTAACATGGCTGACTCCATGGTTCAAGTCCTGGACCTGGTGGCTTGGAAATCACACTGGGAGCTTGTGTGTGTGTGTGTGCCCAAGATCCCAAGAGGAGACTGGAGGAGAAGGGATGGTGGTGTGGCCATACCCCCTGGGGTGAGGTGATTTTTCTCAGTTTCCCTTTCTTTGGCAAGCATATGGGCCCTATTGCAAACAAACAAACAAACAAACAAACAAACAAACAAAACAAAATGAACTAACAAAAAAACAGCAACTCAATGAAACAGCTACTATGGCTCTACTCTAGCACACCTATATGTATTTAATGTTTCAAATTTGACAAACCATATTACAGAGATATTCTGAATCTTCTAGGAACCCAAATTTTGAACTTTGCATATTTGAGTGCTTAGTTACAGTGCTTTACTGAATAGGCTTCTTTAACAAAATGTGACATTTTCTTAAGTATAGCATGTGATCACTTGGCAGGACAAATGAATTTATATGATATAACATGTTAAAATTTAAGAACATTCATGAAATTGCAGTTAAAGTATCTACCCTAGCTTTCAGTACCGATACATGATTAGTCATAGAAATGCCAAATTACGTATGTGTTTTGGACAGTAATTGAAGGATGTTTATATGTCTTATTCCTTCACTTTTGACTTTTATTTTTTATTTTATTTTTTGCTATAGGGCATATGTGTTTTCCAGAGACAGAGAGAGAGAGAAAGTAAGAAATCACCCCAGGGGGGGATGGCTACACTGCAGTCCCTTCTCCTCCAGTCTTCCCTCAGGATTTTAAGCACTCATACGCATGTTCCCAGTGTGATACTCGGGCCTCCATGTCCAGGACTCTGTTGGAGTCAGCCCTGTGGAATCCAGCACTTTAATCTCCATGCCCCCTGCTGGTCCCAACTTTGGACATTTCTAATGCTGAATTCTCTTATGGATATGTGAGACTACATTCACTTTATGTATTTTAATGTTATCCTTTGATTTAAAGGAGATTTTATCTCTCTCTTTTCTTTTTAAAGAAAAAAAGTTTGTTTATATATTGATGTATTTATTTCAAGAGAGATTTTTACTATATGGTATGTATGCTCATTGGAAAGTGAAAAATCAATTCCCCACCAGACGGGATGGCTGTGCCACAATCCCTTCTCCTCCATTCCTCTTTCGGGATTTTGGACATTCACACACATGCACCCAGTGTGAGTTTCAAGCCTCTCAGTCTGGGATTTGGTCTGCAATTGACCATGTGAGAGTCCAGTGACATAACCATTATACCATCTGCTGGTCCCAAGTTTATTTCTTTATGTATTTCTCCTGAGAGAGTGAGAGAGAAATACAAAGACAGTACTGCCAATAAGATCTCCATCCCCAGGTCTCCCGCAGCCTTCAGTGAGCTCAGAGTGTGGCCAAGCACATGCCTGCCATGGTCACGGAGGTCTCTGGACACTCCCAGGACCCTTTCCATGTGTGGCCGCCTCGCCGTGTCATGCCTTGCCATTGTGCTGTCACTTGGGCGCATTTTTAAAGAAGTTTGTTTATTTATTCTTTTAGCGTGATAGAGAAAGCTCTTCACTCTGCAGCCTACCCCCAGTCCTTGTCTCAGCCAGCCCAGATCCCTGCACACCTGCTGTGTTATGGACCTTCTAGTGCATGAACCCGGGACCTTTCCCAGGACAGCCCAGTTGCATTACCTCTGAGTAACCACTTCCCTCCAAGATATTTGCTTAGCTTATCATTTTATTATCTTTTTGTGTTTCTGCTTAATTGTTTTTTGTTAGCATAAATACACTCAAATTTGTGTTATTCAGAGTAATGGTAGGGAGACAAGTTAAGAAATGCCACTTTACATTGGTTGAGAAGTGCTCATTTTTTTTTTGAAAGTTTTCTTTCTCTTTTTAGCTATAGGGTGCATGCGCTTGCCAGACAGACAGAGAGAGACATAGAGACAGAAAGCAAGAAATCACCCCCCAGGGGGGATGGTCACGCCGCAATCCCTTCTCCATTCTCCTCTCGGGATCTTGGGCACGCACGCACACGCGCCCGGCGTGAGTTTTAAGCCCCCGGGTCCGGGAC